CCCAAGCTCACATGCACAGTCAAATTCAAACAACAAACGTGGTCGAGTGTTTCATATATGTATATTGTTCACGAAAAACTGCACATGGGAAGAGCACTGTCACGCCCTGGCCACAACCACCAGTTTCCTGCCGTTATGCCTGGCGGGATTTAGATAGGTCCCACAAACCAACACTAGTATTTCCTATGCAGTTTGTCCTCACTCAGGCGTGCACGGGATCAACTTTCCAATCGGTCACATTGCTCAAATGGGCTCTCGAAAAAGGAAAATTCTGTTATTGATATGAGTAATTGTCGTTCCTGTTAAGACAGGATGTCACGGTCACTTAACCATGTTTGTGTTGCTATTTATTTGCATTTTGCTGTTCATCGTAGGTGTATAGGAGCTGGGGATTAGGCAAAATATACATATTTAAGACCATGTTTTTCTTGAACTTGTATTTTTTTTCCTTTGATTCTTTTCACTGGCTGGATTGTAGTAAGGGCTTACTTGGATTGCAGGAATTTAGAAACATAGGAATAAGAAAAACATATGATTGAGATGTCATGTCCTATGAATACCTACATGAGTTTGAAAACATAGGAACTTTATTAGACGTATCTTTGGATGATGCACATCAAACGAGCCAAGAAATTTTAGATAATTGTTGAATTCTTCCACTAGAACTAGATAGAGAGAGAGAGAGGGAGAGAGAGAGAGAGCAAGTGCATTGGACTTGTCAAAGTAAAAATAAAATGATGTTGGAGCGCATGTTTATAGATTTTTTTATAGGAATGGATTCCTTAAGAATTTGGTGAACCCATTAGTATGATCCAGAGGGCTTCCAGGGGAAAAAATTCTACGAATCCTATGAAATTCCATTGATCCAAATAGGAAAACTGAACTCTAGTGCAAGTCGATCCTTTCCTTTCGTCTCATGAATACCGGAAAGCCAGGCAGAAAAAGGAAACAGATAAATATGCAGACACTCGTGGACACAAACTGCAAGGTTCCCGGGCGGACTGGTGGTAGCATGAAAGGTCACGTCAATCGTATCGTTGGTGAAGACTGAAGCGGTGAACAGAGCGCGGATCGTTGAGAAGAGCAGTTGGATGCAGGATGCGAGCGTCCTCCCTCACAAGGCTTGTCCGATACGACATGCGTGAGAAAACCCGGAGGGCAACAGCATTCCCCGCGAAAATAAAACAATTATTAAGCGTCCCTCCGGTCTCTGATCCAAAGATTAGTATATTTTCTTGAACTTCGATCCAAAGATTTGGCCGACGCAAGAACGGAAAATGCATATAGCTCGTCAGCTCGGGCCTAGGGCTGTACGTCCAAGTCACCGTCGCAATCATGTGAACGCTTCCCACCACGGCCTGCGCAGCGCACACCAACAGGCAACGGCGCTCATCTCTCGAGCTTTTTCCCGCCCGGCCTGACCTCGCTCAGATGTGAACCTGAACCCCTCGCCTCATCTTGAATCGCACGCCGCCAGCGCCAGCCAGGAATGGCCGCACAACAAGCAAGCCATGCGCTTTTCGTCTTTGACCCTTTGACCTCGCTCAGAGCTCAAAACCCTTTGACGCTGAAAACACGGGCACGCAGCCAGGAAGGAATGGCCGCGCAAGCTCATGAGCTTTCCGTCTGTGACGGTTTGACCATGCTCGAACTATCTCTGCGCTGCGCAAGCGGTAGGCACGCGTGAGCCGGCTTCGCAAACGTCCAACTGCACCACGTATCAATGCCGGTACCAGGCCTCATCAGGCCTGGCGGCCCCGCATGCTGCATGCACAGCCGCTCATGAGCACCCATTGCCTATTGCGGTCGCTGATACAGTGGACTGGCGTGGGCACACGACCCCGGGATGCATAGGGCCAAGCCCGGACCCAAAAGTCGCCGTGTCTTCTCGTGCAAGTGCAATGCAATGTGCTGTCAGAGCTCGTTTGCTTGCAACTTAAACTTGATCGGAAAAGTAGACATCGTGCTTTTTCAGGCTAATGAAGAGTGGTAGTGGTACCAACGTGCTACCGCAGAGACGTTGCATTCACAACGAAACCTCACCGTATTACACAAACAGGGTAGAAGGTCGAAATGTTAATGCCTAGTTTACCCACATCGCACAAAAAAGATAAAAACTCCAACTCGAAAACGTAGTAAAAACTACTACCAACAAGAGAAAGTGAAAGTGAAAAATGTAAATACTACTGCTACGGTATGAACACGCAGCATCCAGTGACCGTGTCTGGTCAGCACGGGATAGGTTGAGGGCTTCAGGCGACGCAGCCCAGGCAGCCCATCATCCACAGGCTCCTCCTCTGCTGCGCAACCTGCATTCAAACAGAGATCAGTCAGTAAGTTCCAACCATTACGACAAACAATTAAAGAAACCCGTTCCAGCAGTAATTACACGTTCTTTTCTGAGGCCGTACGTGCGTGCTCTACCTTAACTGGCCGCCGGTTGGGGGTGAACTCCGGCGGCGGCACCTGGTACAGGTCCGCGTCGACCGGCCGCACCACCCGCCTGGAGGCGCCGCCCTTGGCCGTTGCAGCAGCGTCCAAGGACGGCCTCGCGCTCTGACGCGCCCCGGACACGCCGTCGCAGCCCGCCGGCCGCCTCCTCCTCGCCTGCTGCTTCTTGGGCGTGGGCGCGGGCTTGCGCGGGGGCGGCGAGTACTTGAACCACACGTCGCTGCAGGCCTGCGGCTCCGGCATGGCGTACCACGCCGCCTCCGGCTCGTCGTAGTGGTAGTAGTAGTTCCACTCCCCGAACGCCGGCACCTGAGGCCTCCTCGCCTTCTGCAACACCAGAAACAGACCGACCACAAGGATGAACACCACACCCATGATCCTCGACGAGCTTGGCACTGGTATGGGATGCCTTACCTCCATCTGGCTCAGCACGGGGCAGGGGAGACAGAACGAGCTAGAGAAGAAGAAGAAGAAGAAGAAGAAGAAGAGGAAGAAGAAGAGGAAGAGAGGCAACGACGCTGGGGTCGGTCGGTCGGTCGGGGTGGATCGAAGTTTAGAGCAAAACAGAGAGGAAATGGAACCTCCTCCAATGGCTGGCTGGCTGGTTAGCTGGACACGCGTGCACTATATTTATAGCGAGAGCCGGGGGAGCAACGGAGCGCCAGCCACGCCGGTCAGAGTGGCAAGCCGGGCGCGCGCTCCGGTGCGCGGCGTTGAAGTGAGGAATGGGGCTTCGGGTTCGGGACCGGCGAGGTTTGAGAAAGAGCGAGCGAGCGAGCAAGGGAGAGAGAGGGAGAGAGGGGGCAGTATGGAAGGCCGGACCTTTTCAGCGGGGTAGGAGCACTGCAGCTAGCCCACTGTAGCCTGCGGCAGGCGAGCTAGTAGTAGGCATCGACGGGCAGAGCAGTGCCTGTCTGTCCGGCCGGCCGTGGTCCCTCGTTTGGCGCGCGGGCTTTTACTGCGCGCGCATCGGGCGCCGTTCCTTTTCGACGCTCGCTGCATCTGCATGTCGTCGCCGGGTTCGCCGCTGACCCCCGCGGCCCTCTTGTCGCGCGCCCGTGCTGTGGTGTTTCGGCATCATCGCCGGCCGATTATTAGAAAATCGGAGTGAGCGTCGCGAAGCTGGCACGCCCTGCTGGCCGAATGACTCCGAGGTGTGGCGGTAACACGCTTTGACAAGATGGCTTCTACCGCAAGCTTTGTACTACTACTGTATTATTATTGCTTCTGCTCCGGTGTCGACAAGTGTGGCTCGGAATCTCGGATTGTGTCACTCGAGGTAGCATTCAAATGAGTGAGTACACCTATCGTAAACGTTGGATGCTCTTAACTCTATAAACGATGGAAAATTTTACTCTCAAAATGGAGATGGAATACTCCAAAAAGTATTGTAGGGCTTTGCTCTAGCGAAAATTGCACGGTTTGGGCAGCTACATTGTTTCAGACTTGTTTAGCAAGGACAGACCGAAGAAATGCCTTTTAGTCCTCCGGCGCTAGCGCGCATGCTTATTTTTCTCTTCCCAAAATCAGTATTCAAAGTTTCATGGTGAAACACATTGACGAACGACCTAGAAAAACTTGATTTCAAAAACAGTAATTGTGCGTGCGTGCGTGTCTGTGTGCGCGTGCGCCCATTTTGTGCACTCCTCCCTCGTGCTCCCCTCCCGCCGTCGGTGCTGTCGCCGGACGAAGCCCGATGAGAGGTATGCGGCGGCGGAGGTTCCCCGTAGCCCTCTTCTTGGCTGTTGGGGCCATCCCGCCTTGGTCACCAATCTCGGTCATCTACCAGTCTACCATAAGTTAGATGCTTTTGTATAGGAACGCAATAGTTGGCGAACATGGAAAGGTTTGGCATTTGTGAACGTTTTAGATGGCAAGTTTACTTGTATGAGGTCGAAAGTTTCTTCGGAAACACATGACAACTTCTAGGAGAATTGGGCAGGATTTGCCATCTCTTATAAACACTAGTAGAAAAAGGGTCAAATGTGAAGCATATTAGTGCCGGTTTAAATTTGAGCCGGCATTAATGTGATCATTAGTGCCGGTTCCAACAGCTAGGCGGGCGGGCATCATTAGTATCGGTTCGTGGGCAACCTTTAGTACCGGTTCATGCCACGAACCGGTACTAATGAGGCTGTGTCAGGCTATGGTCAGGCTAGGGCCCCCACGAAGACCTTTAGTGCCGGTTCATGCCCTGAACCGGTACTAGAGTTTCTTAATAAGCTGATTTTTAGTCCCACCTCGTCAAGAGAGAGGCAGTATGAGCGGTTTATAAGTCGTGAGTGCACAGACAATGACGGAGAGTTGTAATGCTCACCTGCATGTTGATTAGCTTCAAGCCTTGCGGAATAGCATAGATTGCACTGAGCTATGTGCAGTGCAGTCTACACTATTCCGAATGTCTTGAAGCAAATTAACCAGCATTGCACCTCTTTTTTATTTTTAATAACTTATTTGAACTCCGGACTTCTTTTGTGTTCAGTATGCAGCATTCAAAGCGACGTCATCAATTTCCAACATGTTCTGACATCATTTGTTGTTTTCGGTCATTTACCTAATTGTTTAGAGAGCTAAATGACCGTGAAATTGAAAATCACAACAAAATAAATTCTGAAAATGTTGAAACTTGGCATGGTATCATCATTTCACCCGCATAGCATGTGCGAAAGAGTAGAGAGGGTCACGGCAAAAACTGGACGCACTTCGTGTACAAACTGGACAAACTCTTTTGGAGTATCAGGGTTTCGGACGAGAACTCATCTGTTACACGGGCACTTCAATGTTTTTTAAACTTATTTGAACTCCGGACTTCTTTTGTGTTCAGTATGCAGCATTCAAAGAGACGTCATCAATTTCCAACATGTTCTGACATCATTTGTTGTTTTTCGGTCATTTCCCTAATTGTTTAGAGAGCTAAATGA